ATTTATGGATGTCAATATTGCTTTCTATTTGATAGTTTGTCAAGATATAAGCGCCACCTTCTTCAATATCACCGATGATTTTTTGGATATTGACAGGTCGAATTATGCCAGTAATTCGTCATCCCCAAAATATTGCATAATGAATAATTCAATAAATAAATTATAAAAGATGTTGCATAAAATGATGCATTTAAATAATAATAAAAGAATATATTACCTTAAAATCGTGAAAGATAATCTCAAGAACATTTCGGGAATTGCGTACGTCTTCAACTCGTTGAAACATCCTAATTATGCGTAGCTTGATTGGTGGGTTATTGGATCGATCTTTTGATATCCTTCATTACTCCAAAATCCGAAGCCATTTTTAATGGTGATGTAAAAGATTGTAGAGAAAATTGTTTTGTGGGATGTATTGGATGTCGAATACTTTTTGTTCAATGTTGGTGATGTTTATATAGTCATGTGTATGTGTCATATGTCTGGGAAATAAAAAAATATTTACGTAAGGTATTTAATATGATCCGATCTGATTTTTTTTATTATGATTATGATTGACTTCTAAAAATATGTGTTATCGGTTTTGTTAAAAAAATAAATAAATATGGAACGTGATTCACTTGTGAGGGACGAACGAATATTTAGAAGATTATGTAGCAAAAAATAATGGAGTTTGTTACGATGAAATTTGGTAAGACTTTTTGGATAGATTGAAAAATAGTATTTTTATTTTGATATTTTTCTATTTATTTGGACAAATCCAAAACTTTAATTCACGAAATTATAATCTTTAATTTTTTAAAACGTGTAAAATTTTCTAAGATAACTTCTATAAAACAAAATGTGATCAAATCATAATTGATTTTTATGCCTCAATATTTCAAATCTAACCATACAAATATGGTATAATTATTTACTATTAATATTTTATTTTTTCAAACGTCTGATTCTCTTAGGTTTATATGAAACAAAGTTCAATCAAATCAAAATTGATTTTTATGCCCACACTAAAACCTTATCAATATGATATGTTTATTTTATTTATTTATTTA